TCTTTTAAAAAACTGTTGTCTCAATTTTGAAGACTAGTATTTATCCCTTGATTTTCCGATGTTAAAAGAAAGAGACAAAAAAAAAGAAGCAGGGGATTATTGAGGATTCCTTGTGACAGGTTTTTGTAAGGATTAAAAAAAATTCAGTTTTAAAAGATGACTTGGCACCATTCTTAAGCAGTTCTCTTTTTACATTTCTTGTCACTTTATTCTGTATTTCTGTTCAATATAAAATCAACCTTACTTATCTTTTGTATTCTTTCCCTGTTCATCTTTGAATAAAGATTTTTTTTTGATTATGTAAAGACTCTATCAGACAATTACTTAATCAAGGTATCAATCAGTTTATTCTCTTTGCATTTTTAAAATATCTAATTACTTTACTTGGGTTCCTAATGATTCACAGCTTTCTCATTGTGCACAGTGTTAACAAGATGATTTTGATAACCCCTATACCACAATCATGCTTTTCCCGCTTAAGACATTTTTGTAACCTCTTTCAAAGTTTTTATTATTTCTCAGACTGCTGTCAACAATTCTATGCAAATATACCAAATAAAAAAATATTTGATCACTTGTGATTCATTGTCACTCCATTTTTCCCTTCTTTATGTCATTGTAAAGACAGTATAACATAAAGAAAGAAAAGGCAATGATAATCACAAAGCCAGAAAAAACAAAAAGAAGCACCATAAGCAGGTGATTCTGATATTGATTCGTAGTGTTATTGTGTAAAATGTATTTAAATGAGAACATGTTCGCTCCTCTGCTGCTCAATTAATAACATGAGGAGCAGTCATTCCCATTTATGTGGTTGTTTTTTATTGACTCCTTGTCTTTGTAATTCTTTATCAGTGAAGAAGGGGTGTGTGTTCAATAGTTTTCAATTTGGCTCAGTTTAGCACCATGCAGTTTTTATTAGCACTGCAAGAGTGATACATTCGGAAATGGGGAACATTGTTGCTTAACAATTCACCTGCAATTAAATTACATTCTTTTCAGAAAGATTTCAAACCCAGTCACTATAATTAGGAGCACTTTTTCACTACTCTGTTGGCATTTAGCCATTTTGCTCATGTCAGAAACTGGAAAGTCATATAAGCTTACAATGTCTGAAGTGAGCAAGAGAATATACAATGGTTGAAATTTTGAATGATATACAGATATTAGTTTTATATCAAGAACTATATAAACAAAAGCACATAAAGCTATGCTTATGAATAATAAAATATTTTACATTTATTATTTTATTATTTATATGTGTAATTGCCAATACACATAACATTTGATATTAAATAAATTATACACTTCTTTTGAATATATTGGGTGAAATAATTATATCATGGTCCAGTTTGCAGAAAGTGTTTATAATTTTCAATTTTTGTTCAGAAAATTGAACACTTGTATCATAGATATTCTTACCATAACATTTTCAGGATGATCCAGCTTTCATCAGGTATATATACCTTGACATTTCTCAAATATTAAAAAGTAAGGAGATTAAGCAAAGTATTAAGAAACAGGAAAATTTTGTTAAAAACAAAGAAAAGGGTATTAAAATGTTATGCAATATCAGTGAATGCTGGACAATTTCCTCACAGATGAACAGTCTTCAGGCAACAGAAATATTGTTCTACAGAGGTTTGCTGAGAATAACATGGGCTGAACATGTGAAAAATGGCAAAACATTAGAGAAAATGGAAACAAAAAAGACACATACTTAACATCAAATGTAAATAGCTGAAATTTCTCGGGCACTTTATAAGGAAAAGGTGCTTGGAAAACTTGGTACTCATAGGAAATATTGAAGATAAGAAGGACAGAGGAAATCAGTGCATAACCTTTCTAGTGGGCTTAAGTAAATGAATGGCCAAATAGGGTTTACAATAGATAAAGAAAGATAAAATTTACTAAGAGCTATGAAGGACAGGAAATTATGAAGAGCCTTGATCACCACTGCACTGAAGGGATACAGCATATAGAAGAAAAGCTACAATATATTTTAATAAAATAAAAACTATACATATCTCAAACAAAATATTTTAAATCTAATTAAGAATTTTTATTTTCTGATTCAGTGTATATTTTTCTATATCTCTGAAATTGATTTACCTTTACTCCGGGGATTTGTCTTTATGGAAAAGTTAATATTTTTATCACCCTACTGATATTTTATATAATTAAAAGTGGATTGATTTGAAAAAAAAAAAAGGTAATTCCACAAACTTTTCTTCCAAAATAACCTAACAACTGATATTGTTACAATGAAATGAATAGTATATGCTGGTGATTTATCAATCAAATAAAGTCCTTTTTCTATTGCTCCATTATACCACAATCCAACCAATACGATGAGGGATATTCCAAAAGTAATGACTCAAATTTATTCATAGGAAAACTACAACAAATGCAGTGAGTAAAATAATGTGCAAAAGGCTATATCTGTTTTGAATACCAGTTGTATCCTGACTTTTTATGATCACAGTGAAATTCCATGAACAAAGCATGACCACTTGACTCATCATCATCTTCTGCCCCTCAGCTTTTCTCTCATTCATGCTCATTTTATTGAATGGCATTGTATTGTCGAGCTGAATGATACACAGAGAAGAATGAGTGCAAAATATTTCATACCAGGGGACAGAAAAATTAGTTTTTCATTATGATTCATTATCATATCATTGAGGATTCTTAATATTTATAATGAATTTACCATATTTTGATAGATGTGCAACATTTGCTGAACATACCCATCCTTTCCCACAAAGTGTTGCCAGCCTCTTGCTGATCTATCACTATTCCATGGCATGTTTTGACATGCTACATTCCTTGGTCCCACCGTCCTTACCTTTTAAATTGTGACCCACCATGCTGCATACACAACTGTGAATCATCCCCATTCCCTATGTATTCCATTAGTAATGAGTAAGTTCCTCTCAGACAGCTTCTTCCCATGAACAGCTGCTGTGTGGAAAAACACCTGGAAGGATGTTTTCTCAATCACTACAATGTTGACCTCTTCATGTCTCGGTTTAATCATTATCTTTCCTGCATAAGCCGACGAACTTCTTGACTTTTCTTACATTCATACAGCACCATATAGTAACCTTGAATGACTTTTGGGCCTTGGGTGAACATTAGTATGAAGAAAAATATACCCTAGTGAATGATAATAATAATAATGATGATGGCTGCTCATTTCCAAATATGCCTGTTTGCTAGGGTGGCTAGCTAATCTCTGTTGCAGACACTTGCACAGGCAGATATGGGTTACTTTAATACTGATAGGATCAAACCTAATCACAATTTCTTGGAGAGAGTACATAATCAGGCATGAACAGTAGTTAAACAAGGGACTAAGCTCACTTGAGACTTCACTGAAGCACAACCATTGATGGTAGACAGTTCTATCAACCCATTTTCACTTACAATGTTTCCAGGCACTTACCAATGGTGTTGAATGGACATTATTATTATTAATAATTAAAAATAAAAATATAAAATAATAATAATAATGAATATAAATAAAATAAAATAAAACAAATAACATTAAAACTTTGTTTAAAATACATTACATAAAACCAAAAAGAAAAAGAAAAGTTCTCCCAGAATACAAGAGAAACAGTTCCTACCTAAAAATGGACTTTGCACCAGCAGACTTTGAATTCAGTCTCTTCATTACTGATCGTTGGAAAGTCAAGATATCCAGCTCCTCTCTCTGGAACATTGCTTGTCATAATACAAAGTGATTTCTTTTATCATATGCAATGTTAAAACACTTGTAACTAAAATATGCACACAGCAGTACACAAAAATAAATAAATAAATTGTATGATTTTACTTTACAATTTAACATGCTTTTAGTGTTTTTTCAGTGTTGGTTTTATTCCTGTGAACATGAGGCTATTTCTGCTGGTACGATGTAAGTGACCCCAGAGTGCCATATGCTGGGATTGTCTCTGTCAGCCAATATCAAGAAGTGATAAGTTGATAGGAGTGAGATTCAAACTAAAAATCTCATGACCAAAGCACTAACATTCTAACCACTTGGCCACATCCAATAAATCTACCTTACATGACCTCATACTTTTATAATGCACTGGTGTCATTGCTTTGTTTTTTTATGGATTTATTCTTTATTGATATAAACTTGGTATCATGTTTGATTTATTGATTCTTAGGGTTTTTCCTTTCTTTTCTCTTGCTATAACCTCTGTATATTTATCTCACTTTAAAAATATAGCCATTGTATTACCTCCCTTGCTGCTGTGTTCAGTTAAATTCTGGAATGAAATATGAATTTTCATTTGATTTATATTAGAAAATGTTTAATTTTCTGTTTTGCATTTAAAGCAGTGATAGAAAAGATAAAATATTTGACATTCAAATTTGAACTGTTTTAAATGAAGTTATGATGACAATTTGCCAAAAAAATAAGATGCAGTCCTTATCAGATACAGTGTTCATCTGAAGAAGGCTTGGAAAACACAGATGAAATGTTAAAAAAAAAAGAGAATGCTTGAAAAGAATACTAATCAAAATAATCTATGGAATAAAATGAAAATATAAAACATATGGTTCTCATAACCAGACAAAATCTATTTTCTTAAAATATTTGCATTGTTTATAAGTTGACTATAGATTTTCTCAAACAATTTTGATTACAATGGGAAACTGTTTAATATTTGGGAGATATTTTTAACTTTGTTTAATTCAAGCTCGCAGACAGAATAAAAAAAAGAAAACGTTAAAAAATTCTCATTAACTATATTTGTTATGATATATTTGCAAAAAATTCTATACATGAATAAACTTTTTATCAAACTGTTACATATCTCTTGTTTATAAAACAAATAAAATAGTGTAATTTAAAAAAGAAAAATTCCTTTATAGAAAACATAAGGAATGATAAACAGAGGACAATCAATTGTTGCAAATGAACTTGATAAAAAATGACATCCTTTTCTTTAATTTTGCTTTCTCTTTCTTTTTGTTCCCAGTGGTCGAAAAATTTATGAACCTCCAAGATTTATGACTGTTGCCCAGGCTGCTGAACAACTTGTTACCATAATCCAAAGAAAGAAAGAAAAAGGCAAAGAAACTGGTAATTCCTTGATATATATATATTTTTTAATTCTGACTTAAAAAATTGTGCCTGTATAAGGCTTGGGAATTTAACTCCTTTGTTTTTTATTTTATTTATGAATTCATATTTTTAACCAGGTATTTGATAAAAAAAAAAAAAAAACATTTAAACCTTTCAATCTGTTTTTAAAGAGAATTTTATTCTGTTGATTCTTTAATATTAATGAGTTCATGTTCATGTGACCTTCAATAAGTATTATTCTTTCAAACCATTTTCTTTTTAAGGACAAAAAAAATTTTCAGGAGTAGAAAAAAAATACCCCATCACTATTATACAGTGTTGATCAAATCTTTGAGCGCATTCAAATGAATCTAATAAAAAAGAATGTATGCCTTGAAAGAAGAGGCTTATTTGAGAAAAAAAATGGCAGGAATAATCTTGACAAAACTACCTAATGAATTTGCCATTAACATTGATGACTTCTTCATTAATGTGAGGAATGAGAAGACTGACTTCCTGCAAAGCGAATTTGCTTGTCATGTCAGGTCCTGTTGAAAGGTTGTGACCGGCATTAAAAGAGAAATGGATTATTCCAAAATTCCTATATCGCAGGCAGACATATAAAAAAAAAAATAAATAAAAAAGACTAAGAATTCAAACCAGGCTGAATTTATGAAATCAGAAGTCTTGGGCAAATGAAAAGTAAGTCTCGTATGCAAATTTTAGTTGCCCCCCCCCCCGACAAAGGCATAAATAGCGAGTCTGGGAGGAAGATGGCAGTGTGCATTGTTGACATGACAGTGTACTAATGAAACTGAGAGAATAAGAGGTCACTAGCAACAGCTCAGTTGGTAGACCAGAGGACTGGATGAAAGCAAGCACTTTAATCCATTTCAGTCATCGCAAATGATGGGCAAACTGAATTACCCACAATTAAGAAGTCTGAAATTGACATACTCGAATCAGATGATCTTTATCTATTTTGATCATTGTACTAGTTATGGTGCAGTTTATATATTTTATTGTGTTATGGAGGTGTTCATTGACATCCCTCTTGACTATTCCAGTCGTAGTTCAACAGATTCAGGCCTATAAAATATTACTGTCATTGTTATCATGAAATTGCACAGATGTCACACATACCATACCTAGTTGTCTGAATGGCTGCCTGATTTAAATACTGTCTTTGTCACTGTTTACACTTTGTGTATAGGCTGTTGGGTGTGATGTGGGCTGTAGAATTAATAGAATACTAAATTTATGTTACTATTTAATATTAATTTCTGTGTTAATATGCCAACCAAATATGTTCACCAAACAAGTTTTAGTGGGATATATTTGTGGTAGCCTGCTGGAGGTATGGTAAGTGGCGTACAGTTATTGTTAGGAGTGCTATACCACTTGTTTACAACTTGATGGTAATGGTTTGGAATTTATAACTGCCATCTAAGTCAACCTCTAGGTTTTTAAAAAAAATTAAGGCCTTAAAACTCAACTTGTATGCTGCAATTTAAAGTTAATACTGATGGTTAATTGTATAATTTTAATACATAAAGATAACTGATCACATTTTAACTGGTGTTAGATATTATTGGCTTTCAAATTGTACTCTAAATGATAAAAGGAGGCAAAAAAAGATGGAAAGGGAAAGTAACTCAGATTTGTTATGACATTAACTGTTTAAATATTAATCTTAAAATAATGTTTTGCATTTTTATAACAAAGTAGTCCAGTTTCAATCTGCGTATCACATTCATGGTGCTTTATCCACCCAATAATTTTACTTTCTCACAAGTACTCCAATAGCTTCATGTCTCACACCTCTCGCCTGTGGAACTCCCTTCCCTCTTCCAGTTTCCTTGAGAGCGATAATATCCAGCTATTCAAATGTAATGTCAATCAACATCTCCAGTTGCCTTGATCTATCCACTACCCTTCTCATCATCCTTTCTTCTATCACTCCTATCTGATCTTGCTCCAAATTTTCTGTAACCTCTTGGATCATAGTGGCTTCCCGCCTTGCTTGGGGGTGAAATGCTTAAAAAAAATTAAAAAAAATATAGAATTAGATTCATCTCAGACTGAATATTACTGTTCTATTGTTTCAAGATTTTGGCAAATAAAAGACTGGAAGACAAATCAATTTTTAAGGTTGCTAAAGAAAATGGGTGACATTTGTTAGGAACTATCTCATCATAGTAGTTATCTTGTTGAATATTTAGATTCATAGATTGTGTGTGTTTATATATATATATATATATATATAGTTGGATTGATGTGAGTTTGTCACCCTGGGTTTCATGCTATTTGTGATTGTCAGACAAAGTGATTAGATTTTAAAATTTTTGGTTTATATATGGTTGCGTATATCGGTGTTTTTACGGTAGTGAGGGGAAAAATTGTTGTCGGAACGCCACTCACATGCATGCAGACACACATACACGCACCTCCATTAATGCACTACAGCTCACACAAACATAAACATATATGAACAGTGTGGGACTGGTCGTATATGTGCATCCATGTGTTGTTACGTACATATGTATGCAATTGGTCACTGCATTCAATGTTGGATTGTGTAGTGAACATCTTTCATCAGTTGCAGTGTCAACGCACAGCCTGTTCATCTATTTTGTTTGTGGAATAATGTTTTCTTACACACATATACGTGTGCACACATGTTCACAGTAGGCATACTCATCCTCATATCTAGCTAGGAGCCTAGAGAAAAAAGACACAGGACTATATAGAGATGATGAACTTATCCTGATAAGAAACCAATGGCCCCAAATTAGCCAAATTTAGGAAAAAAGTAGTAAATGCCCTTAAAAAAATTGGATTTAAAATAGAGATAAATGCAGGTACAAGAACAGTAGACTTCTTAGACGCCACTCTCAACCTGAACAATAATTCATATGAACCATACAAAAAAGATAATGACACCCCAACTTACATACACGCATCCTCCAACCATCCACCTTCAATCATCAAGCAAATACCCATATCAATAAGCTGCAGACTAATCTGAAAACTCATCTATCATAGACATTTTTAATAACATGAAAACGCCATACAATGAAGCACTAAAAGAAAGAGGATACACGCAGCAACTACAATACACACCTCCACAGCCAAAATGCAAAAACAGAAAAAGAAATATTACCTGGTTTAATCCACCATAGAACAAAACCATCAAAATAAACATAGGTAGGACATTCCTAAACTTAATAGAAAAGCACTTCCCTGAAACAAACCGTTGAGCAAAAATATTCAACAAAAATAATATTAAAATCAGTTACAGCTGCACAAAAAATATAACACAAATAGTAAAAAGCCACAACAAAAAAATAACAACCTACAATAATACAACCAAAGAACTTCAATGCAACTGCAGAAATAGAACAACATGTCCACTCCAGGGAAAATGCCAACAAACAAATATAATATATAAAGCCAAGGTAAGTGCAAACAACAGCACAATGTACTACATCAGTGCCACTGAGAGACCATTCAAGAAGAGAAAAAAAAACCTTTCATTCTCCAACAGAAAATACTCAAACAGCACTACACTATCCACATACATATTGCACCAAGAATAAGCTGGAAAATATTGAAAAATGCACCTGCCTATAACAACATTACGAAGAAATACCTACTTCGCCTACATAAAAAGGTAGCAATAAATTCTCATACCCAACCAAAGAATTTACTAAACATAAAATCAGAAATAATTTCCAAAGGTAGGCATGAAAATAAATCCCTATTTTCAGAATTTATACCAAATGGATAAAAACAACCAACCACACCACCACATAAACCACCATTGACCCTATAAAAATGAAAAGAGAAACCACTGACACCATAACGCTATCATTTATTTTCTAGTTCAAGCTACCATCATAATAATTGTAATTATTGTTATTATCATTCCATCACCATTACTAATCACTTCTACCACTTTACAATAACTATTTGCTACTACAATTGTTATTATCATCACCCACTCCCCAACAGTGTGTGTGTGTATATATATATATATATATATATATATATATATATAGTCAATGAAACCCAAACAAATTACCCCATACATTAGCCATTTCATTCATGTGAAAAACCATTTTTCCTTGACTTGTCAATGTATTTGCATTGACAAGTCAAGGGAAATATTTTTTTGTTACCGTAATTTTTTTTTTTTTTGCGGGGGTGGGTAATTTGTTTGGGTTTCATTGGCTGTAATTCACTTATATGCTCTATAATAAAAAAATTATATTGAGCTCTCTTCTGTAGATCAGTTTTAATATTTTATATCGATAGGATCTATTTGGATTACTTACCCATGGATTCTTTTATATATATATATATATATATATATATATATATGAAATCCTGGTAATTTTTAACTCCAATATGTTAACTTTACAAGTTTTTTCTCATTAGATTTTTTTAAAAAGCTTAAATTGTAATACTGTTTTAATGGAAAATGTGTTGAATGCTTCCTGGCATGTATTGGTGAAAATTAAATCTTACTTATTCTCTAAATATTCACTTTGAAAAGAAAAGCGATAAACCTGCTAACAGGTTACTGAGAGTGGAAGAAACTGAGAAAATGTTATTGAGGCATTAAAAGAACAGAATTGAAGGAGACAGAAGGTGACAATTGATATAATACTTTGAAGAATGGAGTTGACAAAAAAAGAAAAAGCCAGAATAGAGTTACACAGATAAGAAATATGTGAGAAAAAACTATTAGAATAGAACTTACAGTTACATCTAACAATTTCAACAGTAAATTTATGTACCAAAGAAGGAAGCTCATCAGAGCAATTATCATAAAAATATTTTTAGAAAATGCACAGGGAAGCCATATTATGGTGGTGGAAAAGAGATTGAATCCAAAATGCTCTGTCAGGCCCAATAACATTGTAGATTCTCCTTTGGATTTCTAGATACATAGCAGAAGCATCAAACCAGAAGTGGCAGTAATATTCAATGCTCAAACAAATGGGAGACTTATAATGCTACAGAACACAATATGGTGAGACAGTGAACCATCTTTTCTAGTTGCAGACCTAGCAATTGATTCAATATAATCAAGCCAATTTATGTCCATGGATAATTTTAGATTGAGAAGGTGCAATGAATAGCTTCCTTGGAGGTTACAATCAGCCATGCTGATGGAAGGCAAAAAAGTTTCTCTAAGACAATTAAAAAAAGAACAGTTTTGTTTTGGAGGCATTAGCATTAAGAAGTCACTTCTTTCTCCAGTATGTCCTGGGTATGATGATAAACTATATCCGGCAGCAAGCCCTCTGATTGGAGGATTGGAGGTTTTGAAGAGCATGGAAGCACCTCTTAACTGCTGTTGTTCCCAGGTCCACCCTAACGTGGTGTGGTAGCACCTGTTAGATCCCAGCTATGAACAAATAATGAACTCTCAAACAAAAATCAATACTACATTTTTATAATAAAATGAGCAACAATACATTTTTATAGCAAAATGACAATCAATGCAATACTAAAAAATATAAAAATACATTTTTATAGTAAAATGAGCAACAATACATTTTATGTTCTACAAACTATATATCTAAAAAAATACCTTTATTATGAAAATATAAAATTATGTACAAAATATCTAGTTGAAAGTTAAAATTATGTATAAATGTTTAACATTTAAATTTTAGCATTAAATAACCCATAGAGGTTGATATGCCTGTAAAAAAAACAATCAACTAACCAACCAACCAACCAACCATATTTATAGTGCCATTACCAAAAATACATTTTTAAAGCAAAATGACCAGCAATACATTTTATCTGTAGTTGAAAGCATACAATTGCATTCAAAATATATTTAGTTGAAGCCATAAAATTGTGTTCAAAATATGTAGATTTCAGCATTAATTAACCCAGAGGTTGGTATACTGCTAAACAAAGCCAACCAACCCACTTAACCCAGTAAACAACCGATTGAAGGTTATCTTCGAGATCAACAGCCAATTTAACTTTATCAGTTATTAGTTGAAAGACATATAAGAGAATATACAAATATTTCTAATATATATATATAGATGTAAAGGAAACAAATGTCATTTTTATCTTGGACTCCTGGTGATTGAATTTCACCTGGAAAGGGAATTATATAAAGCAGTGCACCTAATGAGGATCAAACTCACGACAGCTGCTGTGGTCTATGAAACTAGCTTTGTAAGTGTTATGATGACAAATGTTTTTCTTTTTGTAATTTAAGTCTTGCTATAGAGTTTCTCTTTAGAAATAGATCAATAATTTTAGAAGAATTTTATCCTCTTCTTTCTTCTGCTACATTTTAGTTGTGTTCAGCATCTTTTCCTCAGACAAATAACAAAGAACTGAACACCATGGCTTTGACCTTTCTAAGAAAGGTAGACTTTTGGTGCCATTGTCCTGTAGAGGATATAACAATTCAAAACAGGTAGTAATAATAATGAAGACAGTAGTTTCCTTCTGAAGTCTCATAATTCTTTAGAACTGAGGTCATTTTTTTAACAACAGCAAAATCATCGGCTATTTGAATGTAATTGGAGAATGTACAAAATGAGATGTGGTAATTGTAAAGAATAATGGTAATGCTAATATTAGCCATTTCCTTATTGCTATATGTTAAAACTTTTCAAGTTGTATATTTTCTGTGAAAAACTAAAAGAAGTTTCAGACATAAAAGAATATAGATGAAAGAAAACTTATATGGAGATTTTCTTTTTATATAAACTTTCTTTCCAGCTATTAGTCTTCCTTAATTTTAATTCTGAAATATTTTTTTAAGTAAATGTAAGAAGATGCATTTGATGCTGAGAGTTTGGTTAGATGTTTTCTATAAAAACACTTTGTTATGATTGGTTCTGTAAGGTCAAAACTCTATATTAAAATAATTTTTATCATGATTCTATTCTGCAATATTTGGAGAAACATTCAGCATCAAAGTTTGAACATATAACAAAAAATTCTTTTTTCAACATCTGCATCATCTTCATGTAATACTGAGCTTGGTAGACTATTGTGCATCTACTTTTAGTACACTTTAATTTTGGTCATATGAATATATCAACTTAATTATATTTACATTATTCTTGAGTTCTTTTTTCACTAATGGAATCTCAAAAAATTAAAGAATTCCATGTTTTTAATGTTGTTAATAGCATGTTTTGACCAATCCATACTTTAACTATCATCAGGTATATAATACATAAAACAGAAAGAAAATATTTCTTGGGAATATTTTTTTTTAAATGACATGTTCCTTCAGGATATAGGCAATCATGGCCCTCCACAAATTTCTTTCCTTTGTTATCTGTTAAGTGCTGGCTTATGGCCATATCATGTTGAAACACAGGTTCCCATATGATCACCAAAGTTAAGCAATGTCAAACCTGGTCAATACTTATTAGGTGCTATAAGCTTGAATCTGTGGCTGGTGTAATGGATAACATTTTGGAATTGGAAATTGGAGAGCAGATTTCCAATTCTGGTTGGGTTTGTTATATTCCCAAATACCCTCAGAAAAGCTATGAACTCACTTCTTCTCCCCCCAGCTGTGAGTTAATTAGTAGGATTTGTATTGGTAAATCATTAATATCTCAAAAAAAGTTTTACTATCTAATAATATTTTCTAGCTTTGAATGACCTACAAAGGGTTGATAAGCCATAAA